TATGTGTGTTGTCAAACATTATTTGGTATCTGTTGTTTTCTGTTGAACACCAAAATTCAAACAATTTTCTTGTGTTGGTTAAAAACTCCAAATGACAACAACTACGTTTGAGCTTGAAATTTTTAATGGAAAATGAGATTTCTCCATTTAGCAACAAAAAATGAGAGGAGTCCTTATTCAACAACAAGTTTCAAAAGCAATAACTGCTGAATTTCCTGCAACTATGATTACTAATCAAAGAATTGAATCTAATGAATTTACTTATACCTCGATTATTCTTCATTTGTCTTATCAAGCGTTAAGGAAAGTTGGGGAACTTTAAAATGCTAAGGTTCTGTGGGATAAACTTGATAAGGCTATAATACTCATCAACTCCATACTTTAGGCATATAAAGAGGTCAAAACTGCCATTAAATACGGCAGGGATAGCTTGATCCCTGAGGTTGTTATAAATGCTTTGAGAATCAAAGAATTGAAACTTAAATCTGAAAGGCATGGAAAGGAATCTGAGAGTCTGTTTATGAGAGGGAGGCTACCCAACAGACAGATTAATAATTAGGATAATCAGAGTCATCGAGAGAATAATAATAACAAGAAAAGAAGGAAAGGAAAGTATATGTCAAAGTCTAGGACTGAAAATGGAAAATGCTATGGGTGTGGGAAAGCTAGACATTCTATCAAAAATTGTTATAAAAATAAGAATGAACAGAGAGATGAGAAGGTGTATAAGGAAAATGTGGTTAGCCCATAGAAGATAAAACTGTCGATGTCTATGTGGTTACTAAGCCCATTACTGATCTGATTTCTGTAAATTTCTCAGAAAATAATAATCTGAATCAAGAGTGAATTTTGGATTTAGGTTGCATTTTTCACATGACTTCTGGAAACCTTGGTTACAGAACTATAAGGATATGAATAGAGTGGGGTTGTAATGGGCAATAATGCTGCGTAGGAATTGGCAGTGTAACTTTGAAGTTTGAAAATTGATATATCTTTACTCTAAAAAGAGAGATATGTTTCTAATTTAAACAAAAGTTTGATTTCAATGGATGATCTCGATGACATAGGCTTACAAGCAAGGCTTGGAAATGGTCTGTTAAAAGTGATCAGAGGATCTCTTTTTATTTTCAAAGGTACCAAGAAAAATTGTATATATATCACTAGAGCTCAGGTAATTTCAAGGCACACTGTTAAATCCTCAAATGCTGAAATTGATGCTACCTTAAAATGGCACAACAAGTTAGCTCATGTAAGTAAAAATGGCCTGCATAATCTAAAAAGGAAGGGTGTGTTTGGAAAAAATGTTATCTCTAAAATCCCTTTATGTGAATATTGCACCTTAGGGAAACAACATAGACTTAATTTCAATGCTGGAAAGCATGAAACTGCTTCTGTGTTAGAATATATACATTCTGAATTATGGGGTCTCTCATCCACCATCATTCAAGGAAGAAATAAGTATTTTATATCCTTGATTGATGTTTTCTCAAGAAGAGTTTGGGTATTTCTATTTAAACGAAAATCTGATAGTTTTAGAAAATTTAAATATTGAAAGTTTTTGATTGAAAATCAAACTAGTAAAAAGATAAAGTCTTGAGAACTGACAATAGCCTGGAATTATGCAATGCTGATTTTAACCAACTTTGTAAAACTGATGATATTTTTAAGCATAAAAATGTGTTATATACCCCTCAACAATATGGAATTGCTGAGAGGATGAATATGATTATTTTAGACAAGGTCAAGTGTATGATGGTAAGTTCTGGTTCCTAAAGTTCTATAGGGAGAAGCTGTAATGAAAGCTGTATATGTGATTAATAGAACCCCTACCAATTTCTTAGATAGCAAAACTCCTAAAGAGGTTTGATCTGAAAAGTTACCAGATTATAGCCACCTTAGGACCTTTGGTTGTGCTGCCTACTCTCGTCAAAGTATTGGTAAGGTATAACCAAGATTCCAGAAATGTGTTTTCAGGGGATATCCTGAAGTGTGAAAGAGTACATGTTATTGGCTAAAGGCATTAGAGGTTTTAAGATGACCACAAGTAGAAATGTGACTTTTAATGAAACTGATATGCCCTGTATGAGTGAGAAATATCGAGATGATGTTCCTGTAAGTGATAGAGAGAATGTGATTAGGTTGCAGGTGAAGCCTTGGTTACCATCTGAGCACATGAGTTATGCTTAGGTTGAAAGTGAAACTAAGAATGTTTCTGATTTACATGAAGAATGTAAATGTACCATTCAAGAAGACGGTGGTGAATATGATAATTCTTTAGATGATTATCAATTAACTAGGGATAGAACTAGGAGAAAAATTAGAGAGCCTACTAGGATGAGAGATTATTTGTCCTTAATTGTTTTATCTTATCAAAAGTCAGCATTTAAAAAACCTAAATCTTATAAAGATAGCTGTCAGTTATCTAGAGACTGGCAACTTGCTATGGAAGAAGAAATGAATTCCTTATTGAAGAATAATACTTGGACTTTGGTCCCTAAACCTCACAATAAGTTCTTAGTTGACTGTAAGTGAATTTACAGTATAAAAGAAGAAAATTCTGTGAAGTAGCCTGTTAGGTTTAATGCCAGATTAGTGACAAAAAGGTTTACTCAGAAACCTGGTATTAATTATAATGAAATTTTCTTACTTATTATTAAATATACTATCATAAGAGTTATGATTGCTTTAGTGGCTCAATATGATCTTGAACTTGAATAAATGGATGTAAAAATTGCTTTCTTGCACAGTGATCTGGAAGAAACCATCTATATGAGTCAACCACAGGGGATTACTGATACTAAGAAACTTGAGCAAGTTTCTTTGTTAAAAAATTCTTATATAGACTTAAACGATCACCTAGACAATGATACAAAAGGTTTAACAATTTTGTGTTTTTTGTTAGTTTTATGAGAAACTCCTTTGATTATAGTCTCTACCTAAAAAGAAGAAAGTTGGATTTGTGATTGTTTACTTGATTTTTTATGTTGATGAAATGCTTTTAATTAGATAAAACATAAGTGACATTAATGATATTAAAAGATATTTAAGTTCTGAATTTAAAATGAAAGACTTAGGTCATGTAAAAGGATCTTAGGAATGGATATTAAAAGTAATAGTTCCCAACATATTTTATTTCTGTCTCGATCTGATTATGTGGAGAAAGTGTTATCTAAGTCTGCAATGAATGAATTTAAATATGCCACTTTGCCTCTTGCTAGTCACTTTAAACTTAGTAAAGATCAGTGTCTTGTTGATGAATCTGATGTGAAATACATGCAAAAGGTGCCTTATGCTAATGCTGTAGGATCTATAATGTACACTATGATTGGTACCAGACTTGATGTTGCTCATGCTATTTGTACTTTGAGCAGGTATATGGCCAATCCTAGCCTTGAACACTGGACTGCCTTAAAATGGTTATTAAGATATTTGAAAGGGTTTTTTAACTTGTTCTTATGATTTAACCCTATAAAGATAGCGTTGTTTTAAAAGGTTTTGTAGATTTTGATTATGCTGGTGATAGGAACCATAGAAAATCTACCACTTCTTATATGTTTACATTATGTGGTACTTGTATGAGTCGAAAATCAGAGTTGCAATATATTGTTGCCTTGTCCACCATAGAAGCTGAATATGTGGCTGCCATTGAAGCCATAAAAAAATCTTTATGGCTTAAAGGTTTGTTGTGTGAATTGAATGAACTCCTTAATCCTGTAATTGTTTATTCAGACAGCCAAAGTGCAATTCATTTATGCAAAAATCATGTGTTATTAGGGATATATTTCAAAAAGAATTTATATTATTGGAGAAAATTCCAACTCAATTTAATCCCGGTGACACGAGAACTAAGGTACTTCCCCTTAACAAGTTTAAATCTTGCTTACAAATGTTGTAAATTGATATTGGGTAATCTTTGTGATGATGTAGGTAACTTTAACCACTTGGTGCAGTGATCTTTAGGGCTTAAGAGGATAAGTAAGTTGTGTAGTGTTTTTGCACTAGTTTGTAGATCATTGGCATCAAGGTAAAAGTTGTTTGGGCTGTGATGACAAAAAGGGTCAAGTCCAAAACAGTTGGGCAATGTTGAAATTTTGGCTTGGCCCACTATGTTAATTAACCATTGCCTGATAACCAAATGAAGAAGCCCATAACTTGAGCCCAATATAAGGTGACGCGTGTGCTAATCTGGACCATTGATCACTTACTGATATCAACGGTGATGATAATGTGTATAAATGGTCCTTGAGTGGTTGCCCTAATTTTCACTTTTCATTCCCGTCTTGTGTAGAACGCTCTGGAGTCTCTGTCTTTTTGGTTCCTTTCGTCTTCATCGTGTTACCCAAAAATGTTTGGTTTGATTCTATGTGAATATTGAGTCTAAGGGATTCTTTGAGTGAAGGAAATGGTTGATATCCATGTGGTGGTATTTTTGGTCCATTGAAATAGCCGCGATTCATTTTTTGAGAGTTAGGGTTTGAGGTTTTGCATTCGTACAAAATGGTATAATATTCTGAGCCCAATATTGACAAAATCTTCGATGCTGGTGTTCGATTTGTTTGTAATGTTTGATTTGGTTGTAAATCTAAAAAGAGAGAAATATTCTTTACTTTGTGGATTCTTCGATTTCTATTTCTAATAGATATTAAAGATGTCACATCTTTTAATTTACCTGTTTTTAGTACTACAAATTGTATAAATTATATGCCACTTTTTATAACTTTGTCGGTTCGATGAGTTAAGTTAATGACATTGGCTCTTTTTTAAAATATAAAAATAAAAACCAAGGCCTTTTAAACAAGAACATAAAACCTAAGGTTATTTTCCACATTGCTCAGAAGCCCATTTTGAAAAACTCTGTTTTTATACTGAAGTAGGAATTATTGTACGTACATTACCAAAATATGATACTGATCCTGTGGCAGCATTTATTTCTTGAATCCCAAAATATGCCAAGGAAAAATGAAAATTTACTCAATATATATCTACTTATTTTCCTGTCTCTAATTGGTGCTTGTAGTATTGAAAGTGCATTCTTGAGGAAGGCCCTGAGGGAACCGTTTTGTATCTTCACAATAATTATAAACCATGTAATTTTTATGCACCCATTTCAGCCTTTCTTGACTTTCTGAGTCAAGCTCTTGTGAGGACCATGGTTTTGTGGAGGAATTCTTGCAAGAAGATTTTTCAGATTTCCATACACAAGCATTGGCCTTGAAATTTCTTAAGGAGGCTGTAAATGGAGCTTGACTCCAATCAGTCTTTATAAGGCCACCTCTTGTTGCCCAATCATCTGCATTCCACAGACTTGAATAAACCCTCATTGGCTGGTTCTTTGGGAACGAAATTCCATGCGATTCCAGGTTGTCGAATACTCTGATCGGCGTGCCATCAATGTAGAAACTGAAAACAAGAAACCAAGATTGATGAAAATGAGTTTAAAAATTAAAATAATAATTAGTCGTGGACTGGACTGGATGACACTAGACAGTCTAGTTGTGTCGATAACGCTATGGCTATTAGTATACTTACATTATTGTGTGAGGATTCCAGAGAATGGAATAAGTGTGAAAATCAGCAGTGGGATCAAACCAGAGGTAGAACTGTTGCTCTCTGTCACCTTTGCCTTGTGTATATACATTAGTGTGAACTATGTAAGGTTCACCACTAAGATTCCCCAAGAATTCAAAGTCTATCTCATCATGGTTTGGACCTTGAGAAGACAACTGCATGCATCATACAATTCATGTCATGTCACAAAGTGCATAGTACAAGAGGCAGAATAAAATAAGTAAACTTCTAAACGAAATGATTCCAGAACAAGAATAGCATATTTTTGTGACTTACATAGTAAGTGGTTACAGTGCCAGCAGAGTTACCAGGAACAAGCTTGAGTTGCATGTCAATCTTTCCGAATAAATACTCGTTCTTGGATTGTATGCCAGACCCAGAAGCTTTGTCGAGGGAGAGAGCGAGAATTTTGCCATTATCGAGTACTTTTGCACGTCCATCGCCCCATGTTATATCAAAATCTTTAAAAAAGTTACCAGCTGAGCTAGTAGAAAAAGAGCCAAAGGTGCATAGCATCAACAACAGAAGAACAACTGATGAAATAGAATAGTTATAAGAAGCCATTGGTTGGTCAATTCTTGATTCGTGAGATTGAACAAAAGAACAACCTTTTCGTAATCGTTGAAGAAAAATGTTGTTAGTTTGGACTGGTATATATAAATGGAGAAATTTATAAATAGAAGCTTGAAGTTGGTAAGGTTGTGTACAGCTGGAAATTCTCCATTTCCACTATTATGCTAATTGGTGTTGGTGGCCAAATCTTGAGTGCTTTTGTTACCACTAACTAATCGCCTTTTCAGTCCCTTTCACGATTTAATTTTTCTAAATATTTAATTTTTGAAGAACACAAAAAAAATTCATAATAAATAAATAAAGTTATTTTCACTATAAAAAAAAATCATGATTTTAGCGCGGAAATTGAATATCCACTTTTTAATCAATATACGAACGCTACTCAAATTTATTTAAACTCATTAATATTTTTCTGGAATTCATTTATAATTTGGTATTGAAATTGAATATCCAAATGTCGACAATGATAAGAAATTTATTTACTACTAGTGTTTTGACTTTGGAACAGAAAGTGAAATTTGTCACACGGTTTTAGTAGGTAGCATATTTTTAATGATGAAGAAAAGCACTATTTTTAATGATGAAGAAAGGCACCAGTACATATTGGTGACAACAATGGGACACTCTAGGAACTTCGATTGGCTCTTATAACAACGTAAGTACTTATATTCGCATCAATCTAGTAATTTCCGTATTTGTCTTCACATATTTTAATGTTTGAATTGAAGTCGAACTGTCATCCATTTATCAAAATTATACATATGTAAAACTTTTGAATAATATATAGCGAAAATAAACCGACTATGCAAACTTTCAATAAGAGGAACATCGTTGAAAAGAAAATTAATTTTAAAAGAGTTACATATACAAAACAAATGCCTAGCTAGCTAGCCATCAAAAATTGAAGAAATTGTTACCAATTAATGGTGACTATGAATCTATATCAAATCCATGTCTACTGAAATTTGCATTCTCTTCCAGGACCCTTAGGAAATCTCCATTTATCCTTACAATAATCATATACCATATGCTTCTTCTGCAGTCTTTTCATTTCTGCACGGCTTTTTGAATCCAACCCCGTTTTTAGCCATCTTCTTGACTTAAAGTCATTAGAGTTACAAGCAGAAGATTTAGTTCTGTATGACCAAACGCAAGCTTCTGCTGAAAAATTTCTGTATCTAGCAGTAAAGGGTGCCAAAGTCCAGTTTGTTTTAACCAGACCATGCTGCGTCGCCCATTCTTCTGCATCCCACAAACTTGAGTATATTCTCATAGGTTGATCTTGTGGGAATGGAACTCGTCGTCTTTCTAAGTTTTTGAATTCTCTAATTGGAATGCCGTCCACGTAGAAGCTTATGATTAATAATAAAAAAAAAAGTTAAAATTTAATTAGAAAAATAAGTTCTTTCGTAATATAAGTCATCGATTTATGGATAAAAAAGTAGTACTTACATTATGCATCTAGGGTTCCAAAGAATGGTATACGTGTGGAAATCTTCAGTTGGATCAAACCATAGGAAGAATTGTTGTTCTCTTTCACCCTTTCCTTGGCTAAACACATTTGTGTGAAGAGTGTATGGATTCCCACTTGAATTGCCGAGAAACTCGAAGTCTATCTCATCATGGTGATCACCTTCCGATGATAACTGATATAACTCGAACATTAGATACACGCCTAAGGCATTTATCCTTTGATCTTCAAATTTAAGGATTAGCCACGCGTGTTTAAGACATTAAAGTTTGTGTTTCTTACGTAGTAAGTTGTGACAGTTCCTGCCGAGTCACCAGGAACAAGCTTTATTTGCATTTCAATCTTTCCAAATAGGAATTCTTTCTTGGACTCGAAGCCTGATCCTGATAATTTGTCGAGTGAGAGCTCAAGTAACTCGCCGTCCTCGAGTATCCGAGCACGACTCTCGCCCCAGGAGACGATAAAATGACGGTGGAACGTACCATTTCCGATGACAATAGTTTTAGCACTACCATAAAAAATGAAAATGCATACATGATAAAACAAAAACATGAAATCTGTCTGGTACGTTAAATTAGACGACCATGAACATAATTTAGAAAGATAAACGTGTAAGATTATTCGTTATATAACTGAAGTGATTCCATAGAAAATACCTAGTGGCAATTTCGACGTTACGGCGAGCCGCAGTGATGGTTTGAGAAATAATAATGTCGACCTGCAACACGGCAAAAACATCCTACTTGTAAGGAAATATACAAAACGAGCACGTATGCTTACAAATACGTACATTTACACATTAATAGACATGAAGAGGAAGAGATTAATCTAGAATTTAGAGGAAACCTTGAAAACAAAGATGGCAGAAAAGATTATGAAAGCCAAATAAGGGATGAATGACTTGGATCGAGACTGGTTGGGATTTCTTGGTGGCATAACGATTGAATTCTTTTAATATAGAAGATGAAAATGTGCAGCATTGTTTTTTAATTACAACATTTGTCATACCTTAAACCTTTGAGGATGCTAATTGTGTTGGTCTGCTCTATTCTCTCTGTTGGATAAACCAACTACAGCCATTCCTTTTGCCACTAGCTCCATGGTTATCCATGCATCTTGGGCAGTCACACATATATTCACGGAGCTAACCAAATTTTTTGGCACCTAATTACTAAAAATAGAATCACTTATAGAGAGAATTCGAGTTGAAAGTAGTAGACTCAGAATACGTTTGATTGTGCTACTTGTAAGTTACTTTTTTTTTTTCGAACATGATTTTCAACCTATCTAATTTGCACTTACTATCTAAGGTTGCACGAAACCAATGTCTTCAGCCAAGGAAAAGGCAACAGAGAGCAGCAATTTTACCTTTGGTTCGACCCAACTGCAGATTTTCACACGTATTCCATCCTCTGGAACCCACAAAGGATCATGTGAGTGCAATATCCAGTATTCCGAAATCTGAATCAAGCCAGAGAAAGTTTTATCATAATTTTCGCTTACTGAATGTTTCCTCAATTTCAGATTTTCTGTTGATGGCACTCCCATCAGAGAATTCGAGAACTCTCCATTGGAGTTCCAAACCCGAATAGGCAAGCAATGAGGATATACTCTAGCCTGTGGAATGCAGACGACTGGGCAACTAGAGGCGGGCTTGTGAAAACAGACTGGAGTCCGGCTCCATTTCCTGCCTCCTACAAGAATTTCAATGCAAATGCCTGTATTTGGTCCTCGGGGTCGTCTTCTTGCAGTTCCAACTCTCCACCTCCAACATCCACCCCTGCATGGCTAAATAAAAAATTGGATACCACAGGCCAAGAAAGACTGAAATGGGTGCAGAAGAATTATATGATCTACAATTACTGTAAGGATGCAAAACGCTTCCCACAAGGCTTCCCTCTAGAGTGTACATAAAAAATTTCATTCTTTTTTGTTAATACAAATAATTTGTGGCATCATATAGGCATACACATACTGTTGCTCCTACTTTTCTATTCTTTGATTTTTCCTTTGTAGTACTTAAACCCTACTTCCTGGCTATGAACCAGTATATGGTCGCTCGTTTTCATTATCCTGTATATTAACAAGTATGCTTTATACAACCCTAAACATCATTCACGTCACAGGCAAAAACCATGACAATACATTTCTGTGGAATAGTACTATCTATAATCACTCATCACTAATGTCCCACAAACCTATGGCAATAGATATTTTGATCTGCGACTGAGCAGAGAATGTGCAAGGATATGTGCACCTGCTCCTAAAGTTAATAGCTACGTTAGATAGTGCAATAATGTTGAGTAAACTGTCACCAAAATGTAATTCCAACATTTCTTCAGGTAAACATATGCTTGTTTGGGAGGAATTAAAATCAGATTAAAATTGAAAATATAGCTGTTGGAGTTGACTTTTATTAGACGGATGGGACCCAATAACGACTATATTTTCAATTTTAATTGGATTTTAATTCTTCCCAAACAAGCTAGTAGATTCCGTGTACTTACTTCATCACAGGCTAAAAGAGGTAGTCTAAGAACGACCCAGGGAGGATAGAAGCTATAAATAAAGAACTTGTAAATCGAAATGCAACAGAAATGAACACCTTTAGTACAGAATGTTTAGGAGCAATCATTTACAGCAATATTGATATTGAAATCATTGTCTGGTGAAAACACTTCATTAGACAGATAAAATCATAAAAAAGGAACATACTGTACATATGACCGTACAGGAAATCCATTGTAATTTCAAATAAAAGAAACAACAGAGGTCTTCAAGACTCTGAAAATGTACAGTCCTGAAACCTAATGAATCTACTTGGTCTGAAGAAGAGTTTCAGCATTTGTCAGATACAGTTGATGGTTAAGATTCAATTGCAAACTCCATCGCCCAAGCAAATTCTATTCGTCTTCCAACTCCACAATCTGTGCCCTCCTCTCAGCTGCCTTCTTCCTGACAAAGATGCCCCATCTCATTGCAGCCTTAATTTTCAGCCAACCCACAACAGCCTTTCCAGAACGGGTTCGATCCTCATTATAACTCATGCTTGGAGAAGGCGATGGCATGTAAGAAGAGAAACCATACCCATCTTCTGGCACATTAACAGAGGCATGACCTCCCATGCTGAAAAGCCGAAGCAAGTGCTGCATATCTTCATTTTCAAGCAATTCATGACTTCTGATGCGAATTTCCTCCTCTGATAAGAAGTCATCAACACCCTTCACCCGATTATGGGACCAGTCCTCAAAAGGATTAAGATTCGCTTGCTGATTAGAAGAGTTTCCTGCTTGGAATGATGATGACAGAGGTGGACCAAGGGCAAGCCCAATCCTATTATCGTATGATAGGTTAACCTGCTGGTCAGGCTGAGTAAAAGAGGTGGTATCAAACTGGGTGCGGGAACTGGAATTCATAAGCTGAGACTGGGTAGAATATCGATTAATCATATTGTCGTAACCTGAACCTGGGATTGAGAAGAAAAAATTATTAATTTTCACAAGGCATTACGAACAAATGTCAATGTGGCCATGTATATGGCTGTTTCAAGAAATAATAGAGGTTACAAGTAAGAAAATTAAAAGAAAGTGGAGCACAAATAAAACTAGAACAACAAAATAGAGAGGATTCAAAAATAACAGAATATAATTGTACATGCACTTTCCTGATCTGTCTCTGTTTCAAGAAATAATAGAGGTTACCAGTGAAGATAACCAAAAGACTGACAAAGAAAAATAGAACAAAATAAAGTAAAACCAAAAAGAGAGAGAGAGAGAGAGAGAGAGTAAAATGGTACACACACTTCCTGATCTGTGCGCCAACCGCCCCCCACCACCAACCCAAACAGTCATCTTTCCANGAGAATGTAATTCGTTCTAAGGTCCTAAAGAGCTGAAGTAGATGCGACAAATTAAAGAAAATGCCAGCACTTATGAGCTGCTCACACTTTCAATAAATGCCCTTGGAAACATGTAAAGCAGAGGAAACGGTACTTATCAGAAAGTTCAACATTTATTACTACTACATTTTTTGGCTGGATCTCAATTGTCAACTGACAAGTGAAAAAGGAATGTACTCAGTAAGGTCAAACCTACCTCCAGTTAGCACGTTCGGGTCCATTGACGATTGGTCAGATGGAACTGATTCTGGCAATCTCTGAAGTGGAAGCTGATTATCCAAGGCATTAGGATAATTGACAGGGCCCACAGGCAGATCGTTGTGAGAAGCATTCGACTTTTTAATTTGCTTAAAGTTCAAAAGTGATTTTCCATCATATTCCACGACCTGGTTCCAATTATCATATGCTTTCTTCACCAAAGTATCCACGTATACCTACAGGTATAAAAATATCCACAAAGCAATTCCTTCACTCGTAAGTTAATGGTTCGTCTGAAGAATGTCTTATAGCAGTTGCTCAAATAATTTTCGAAAATAGAATAGCATTCAAAAAGTTTCATGCAAAGTACACATATTAATCCCACATTCCTGGTTCGAAGTCTCTCTTTGGGACTCAAAAACTCATGGGAAAATGCACGACACTCATGATTAGAAGCATGAATAATTTTGCCACATGTCCAAAGAAATCATTCAATGTTTGTAATGAAGGAAATAATAAATACAATAGGGATATTTTCAGACCAACAGACATCTTACATAAATGCATCGTTTTTGCAAGAGAAAAAATTTAAAATATGAATATGATGTGCTCAGATTCAAATCTAAATCTGCTATGAAATGACATATTAGAACAACTACGTTCATCCAACAAACTATCTATGTTCATTTAACATATAACCAGCAACTAATTGAAGCAAGGGGAAGAATGAGATTTTCGTATAAGAATAGCTGGGGCAACAAGCCATAAATCCTAATTTTAAGGGAAATATGACCAACCTTTTGGCTGTCAGAAAGTGAATCTTCTGGATAATATTGTTCGTTCGCTATAAGGCCACTCAACTCATAGATATTGTTAAAAACAACACCCACATTTCTTGATTCATCAGAATAATATATATAAAGCTTCCCACTCAAGACGCAAGTCTTTGCATGCTCTATGAGGGCCTCCCACATCTTATTTGACATACCACTGCCAAGGATCTGCCAAAATTGGGGATGCAAATCACAATATGAAGAATCATGGAGCTGCTAATTCAACAGCTAAAGCCATACACTTACAGTTCGTAACTTTTGAGAGTCCTTGACCACAAGCTGCAGGAAGTCCTCGACCGTAAATATTCCTGCACTATTAAGCCTCTTGTGGAATGAACCATCCTTCCCAATCTTCTCCAATCTCCATACTTCATCATTTAAAGCAGGGGGATAATGTTTCTTGTACACTGCAAGGGAGAGAAGACAATTCAAAATAGTTCAAGGCGATGAGAAATTAAACAATATTGATAGTAAAGGTTCTCACATTCCCCTCTGTGATCTTTAACAGTAAAAGCCTCTGTCTTTGCTTCCCGTATGCGTATCCCCTCACAATATCCTGATGCAACCTTTAGCCCAAGTCTGAACTTCCTGCTTCTTATCCAACTTGAATTATCTGTAAATGTGAGATCTCCTAGTGTTCCAACACCTTCCTTGAGCGTCACTTGCAAATCCCCAGTTAAAAGAGGTCTTTTTCCCTCACGCTCTTTCACGATGTGGCTTTCAAATTCTTCTTGAGTCCAACCTTCATCACCTTCATTGTTAAAATCACCTTCTAGTACTATAATATCAAGCTTAACACAAGATTCAGGGCCAGATGTTACAACATGGCCTGTGTCTGCATCGATCAGTACGATGTGAATAGCAGCACCCTGCTCCCCCTCTACTTTCCCCCCAGTGAAGAGGGGGAGAGAAAGCCTGGATTTAAAATGAAGCTGCAAGTTTCTCCCATCTGGCCCTTCAATTCGTTTAGGTGATGACCTGAAACATTCAATATTTATAAAATAATTATAAAAAGATGGAAGCTTAAACGATTTATGTTTGTTTGACACAGCTTACTTGAAAATCATTTTTCCTCAAACTCATTTTCAACCACACAATCTCCCAATAATTTGCACGTGCACCCATGACATTCCCTACTTCTAAACCAAACATTCTCCAAAAAATCATTTTTCACTTCAAATAATCTCTCCTAAACAAACATTTGGTGGATTAAACACTTCAAGTCATCATAAGAAATGAGAAACAAAACAATATTCAAGCCCTAATTGTAGTTGGTGGAATATGTTCAGAAAAAAAAAATGACTTACATCATAGGATAATAAAGTGTTAATAACTCTTATTATATGTGAAAAATATAAAGACAGACTCCAAGCCCCAATTGTATGCGACCGGATATAGCCAAACGTCAATTATTCAAATTACATATGTAGGGGCATATTCTCATGTTTCTCCTTTTCTCTGATTTTCCAAAACTTAAAAGTCATAACAGATTACAAATACAAGGACAGATATTTCAATTAAACAACTCAGTCTTTATACCTACACCACTAAAGGACCTCTAAACTTAATAAAAACAGCATCAATAAAAAGAGAAAACTGCTTCAACTCAACTAACTATTGTTTCTCAAATAACAAAAAATTTAGATATAAAGATATAGATTAACAGTGTCAGACTCGATCCAGAGATCAACCTGGCTATGGCACCGGATCAATGGCCAGATGAGTAGGTCAATGCTTAAAAATCCAAGTACAGTTATCACAGTGTAATTTTTTTTAAAGACAGACTTGAAATTTTAAATTGTTTATCATTGATAAATTATACATTAATTTCCTAAATTAATCTTGTAATCATAATGCTTTACATATTTTAATAATTCTTTTATCAAGGAAATAAATTTATTACCATATACATATTATCAAATTCAAAAAGTAGTAATTTGATAACTAAAAGGCTAATAAAAGATTTCTTAGAATTTTATACTTCATTTATTTTATATATTATATGTATTATAAGGTAATATTTTTATACCTATACATCAAAAAGGATTAGTAATTATTTAAAAGATAGCAACAAAATAAATGATTTCCTGGTGGTTTAAAAATATTGATAGTAAAGTAACATATAAGTAATAAGAAGTTGTTTGCCCCAGCAGCTTCTCTGTCATTCTCCAAGCTAAAGTTCATGGGAACGAACTTTAACCTCACATTGAGAAGTAATTTATAAAACCGGTCAACCGGCTCAAGCCGGTTTTCAATGAAACAGCCTGTTTATCCGGATTTTGATCCATTCAATTGCAATCTGGTCACTTATGGAGGACCATATGGGTAAACAGTTTGGGTCGCCAAGTTTTCGCATGGACTGGCTGTCCAGTCTTATCCGGATTCAATAATTATGGTATGTGTCAACAATATCATAAATTACTATACAAACACAAACTTCTTAAGAATGAAAAGAAACTAAACCTTCCATCAAGTCGTGCAGGACCCAACTTTGCCAAAGCACGTTCCACCTCTTCACTGACCTGTTGAATACAGATTAATTATGAGATAGTGACTTCTTGATTATTCATGGAAGCTAATATATAGATGAAACTGAGGCGAGCACTTATGAAACAAATATTGTCTGCAATGAAGACATTAATTAAAGTGGTTGAATGTAATCTAAATGCAGATAATGTCAAGATGAGCTTTTATGCAACAAATTTTACTTTTCAACAAAACTGTTTATCTCACAGTGTACAAGCTTGGAGTCCTTAATATTAAGGGTGTATTCGGTCGTGCTTAAAATCCAATTAAAATTGAAAATACAGCTATTATTGGGTCTCACTCATCTACTAAAAGTCAACAATAACGACTAGTTTTTCAATTTTAATCCGATTTTAATCTCTACCGAACACGCCCTAAGCGAATAACATGGGAACAATTGGCTATTAATTGATATCTAATTTTATAAAGGCTTCAATAAAGTGATCTCACATAATCTTGAATATAAAGTTTGCATTACCTCGTTCCTTCAAGAAAGGGACAAGTTCAAGGATAAAGGTTCAGATGGTAGCCTAAAAAAATGTATCCACAAAGGATTCCAGACTCTTGGGTTCCATCGCATAAACACTTGGTGACATTCAGCCGTCAAAACTACTTTCCACAATCTTATTCCATATACATTAGAAATAAATAATTTTAATATTATGTAAAAATGTTCAAAATAAGAAACTTCATACTTATTTGAGTTATTTCTGCTCAATTTTAAGAGAATAAAACTACTAATTTTAACAAGACTTCCATGCATTTTCAAAATTATTACACTCGAGATGACCTTGGAAAAATCCCCATTTATGCTAGAGCAACTATTGATTTCAGGGAGTACGGGATAGAACAGGGAAAGAATAAACACAACTAGAGGTCTGAGACCAAAGGAAATATGAGGATATAATTTAAAGTGAAATCTTCCCAGAAAATGTCCCATACTCCACTTTAAAAATGAAAAACAAAAAGTCTCATAAAATAACAGAAATACACAAGTCACAGCAGAATCGTTCAAAGGAAACGTGCGAAAGTCATTCACATACCACTCTCCTAAGAATCGGTTCTAATGAAGAGCAGAGCTTCTGGAGACTATCGAGCTTCAGAGCTTCCACAATAACACTGCAAACAACACACTACTTTTTCATGAACACAAATTTTTACTTTCCTTAGCCCTGCTACAAGAAACAAAAAGCAAGACCAAATTTGACGAGAAAATTAAATGGAGAAATAACGAGGAAAGATTTGGAATAAATTTTCATTACATGGTCTTCCAATCCAAAGGAGCTACAATCCTAAGATGTTTACAGTTTTTCACTTGGTCAAGCGACTCAAGCTAAGAAAGTTACAATTAAATTCCATGTTTGCAGAATCGGTATTTAAGGGAATAGGCGACATTTGTATACAGTTCCAACATCAGTTTAGAAATAATGATAAATCCAAACAATAAAATCCAAATATGTGACTGACTTTTTGTCTTCGGTCATTTCTGAGTAAATTGGGGTCTAACAAACTTTCAGAGGTCGACATGTACACATTAGACATAATACAACTATTGGAAAAGCTAGAATTCGCTCTGAAAAAAAAAATCTCATTCAGATGCAGACAATACATTTATGAAAAAGGAAATCCATAGAAAAAACAAGTCTCCCACATCAGTTCGATCAATTTAGTTGAAATTTTCAAGTGTAAGTTTCCATTTAAGAAATCATTTCCTGATTAGCCATGCAATTTTCGCACTGTCATTTCTGCAAGGCTTTATGTACACTTTGAATTTCACTAAGAATCTCCATTTGTACCATCGCTCACTTCAAAAAATCTCACAGAAAAATAGGGTAACATCCAGCCTTATTGATTTCAATTAGAAAACTAACAAAAAGGCCATTTATTTACCTTTACATTCAAAGTGACATTGTAACATCAGTTTTCATAAATTTTGAACTCTCAAAATTAAGCAACAGATGCAAGAATTTAACAAAATCATAGACCCAATGGTTACTGAAATCGATACGAAAATCAATCATTTTCATTAAGACAAACACAAAGTTAAAAAACAAAACAAAACCCCAGTGCAAGAGCAGCTAATAGCAAATTGTTACCTAGCTAAAGCAGGTCTTTTCTTATCAGGCTGCTGCTCTTCATCATCACCACTCTCCAAGGTCCTTTTTCCTCTCTCACTAATTGAATTTGTCCTCTCCATATACCTTGTCCGCATTTTCACTTTAAAATAGCAAAAGATCGAAAAAGAAACAAAAGAACATCAACAAAACTCAAAACTAAACAATAAGTCAACAAAACAGCTCCAGTAGATCTCAATTGACCCAAAATCCACAAACCCTTCTGTAATTTCGCATCAAACACCCAGATCCCTAAAATACATCAATTAACAACAAAATCCATGTCCCATATTAAAAAAAATAAACACATACACGAACACGAACTTACCTGCTGGGTAGTTAAAGGTAAATGAAAAATGGAAAAAGCGGGATGATATTAATTCCTACGAGTTGTACGTGGCTGTGGTGGAGGACTGTGTGCGACTTTTGATGACTGCTGAGTGGTAATTATAGAATGGCGTCTGCAGATCTTCTCGGGTTTCGTCTTTCGGCTTTGTCCTTTTAAGTAATTAAAACAGTAGTAATTCTTATCTAGATTTGGACTTCGAATCTGACGTTGATTTGGTGGGCTTGGTCAGAGGAGGGGGCCTTACTGCCGTTGGATGGATCTCAATAATTCGAGCTACTTTTTCGTGAATAAAAAAAATAAAGAACCAGACTAATTTATTTCTTGAAATTAATTAAATAATTGATATTTGTTTAAAATTTTATAATATTATAATACTAAAAATAGATATTTGATGTCACTTAACTATATATTTTCATAAAGATAAATTTTAATATTAAAGATAATAAAATTTATTCAAAGCACTACCCTTTTTGTAGTTTAGAATTTATGATGTGGTAATATTTATGTAGGATAATTGTCATTCAAAATAGTAAAATAATCTATCTATCTCCACTATGCTTCACGAATTTGAGATAATAAAAAATAATTCTAAATGTAGTTTTTACTTTTTTATATTTGATGGGAACTTCGTCTTTATTCTCGATACTTGATAGACTCGTCGTATATACTCTTAGCACTGTATAAGATCGATTTCTCTTTATTATTATTATTATTATTATTATTATTATTGGAAAATTATATAATTCCAGGCTTTTCAAAATCATGGTGCAAAAATCAGTTGATAATGTTTTTTATTCAAAAGCCAGGTATTGATTTAACTATTAAAATATATAACACATATCATCCCAATCCAATTTCAAATCCTAAAACTCAAATTCATTTGACTTCACATTTTCTCCTCATTCTCTACACTTAACCTACACTTCCATCTCTCAACCCTCTCCATCACACGAGTAACCGCTGTCGTCGGAGACCATTGCGACGACCACCTCCGAGCGCTACTGTGCAGATATCGCGAAGACTACCTTCGTTCTCAGCGACAACCACCTCCAAGCGCCACTGTGCAGATACGAGGGTAAGTTCGACGTCGACTGGTGCTGGCGTGGGGAGGGGGTTTGGTGTTTTTTTCTCTCTTTCCGATCTGAAGAGGTTGTGGTGAATCGTTGATATGGGTGGTTGTATCTTGAAGTGGTGGTGGGGGCAGCGATTTGGGGATTGTTTGGTAGGCGGTGATTTTTGTGTAGTTGTGTTGGTGGATATGTTGACAGTAGTGCTGGTGGATGGTGGTAGTGCGGGCGATGGTCGCATGGTGAGTGAATGTTGCGGTGGTGGTGGGTGTGTGCTGTGGGTGCGGTGCGGTGCGTTGGTATTGCCGGCGTGGGTGTGTGGTTTTTTGCGAGTCGTGGAGTGTGTGGTGGGTTGGTAGGTTCAGATCTCATTTGATGGTGGTGCTGATAGTAGTGATGTTGTGTTCGTGGTATTTTATTGTTATTGTTGGTGGTGGTGGTGGTGGTTGTAGCAGTGGCAACGAGATAAGAGTGTCTGTGATTTTGGTTTTGTGACTAAAAATATAATCTGTGACCTTAAAATTCGATAATCTGTGATTAAAAATATAATCCGTAACCAACCATTTTTTTATCTGTGACCTAAAAATTATATAATCTGTAACCGTAAAAAAATCTGTGACCAATTAATTTGGAAATCTGTAACTGTGTGATCTATAAATTTTAATATGTGACCATTAATTTTGAAATATGTGATCAACGAATTAATTGTGACCTATAAAATTAAACTGTGACCGTAAATTGTAAATCTGTGATCGAAACAGTCGCTGGAATAGTCATCAGGACGGTCGCTGGAGAAGAGTGGTGATCGAAATGGTCGCCAAATAGTCTCCAGAGCGGTATGGGTGGTACATGTGTGATGGGTTAATTATATTATATTAGAATTAAATATTTAATAATTTATTATTTCATAAATAAAAATAAAAATAAAAAAACCTGATTTTTGAATATTCAAACTATAAACCTGATTTTTGAATTGGTGTAAAGTATGTACCTTATTTATGAATTTTTTCCTTATTTTTTTCTTATTCACTTATAATACTTCAATAAATGTGTCAAGTAAACACGTATTTTCTGTTTCGAGTGTCAATTATCATCTTTTTTGGATATAAATTAAAATGAATATTTTAAAATTAAATTAAAATTAATATTTTAATTTACATCATAATCTACAAATAATTTTAACTACGCATTTTATGCGATCTACAACTTTTCAATTATTTATTTCATCAATTTTAATCAAAATTTATTAAAACTTTAATTTTAATTCTTACCGGTTGAGCTTACTATGAACTGATCTTTCATATGAATAAAAAAAATGTGTTTCTAGTGCAAACCATCGTACGGATATACAGTATATGGTCTATTTGATCAGTTTAAATGAAATTTTTGTTCTCTTTCTCACTTCAAAATGCATCCTTCTGTCCTTTCCTTCATGTCTGGAGCTGCATGTTCTTTTAGGAGAAAGATACCCTCATTTATTTTTTAATTATCCATTGATATGTGTCTTTATCTGCATGTTTAGGGAAGGGGAAACATCTCACAAATTTTTCAAATGAAATTCAACCATACGAAGAAATTATACATTTTTTCTAGAGTATAATAATCTTGAAAATATATGACACTGAGGTTAATTAAAAAAAGTTAACATAACAAAATGGTAAAAAAATTGAAATTATTGCAAAATCGCTTGTATACCTCTTACAAATTTTATTTTACAGTTGCAATAAAAAATAATTGCAATATGTCACCTTTAAAAAAAAAAAGACAAGACCTGTCACTTCTTTATAATAAAGTTTTAAGCTAATTTTTAATTCAACAAAAATTTAGTTTAAAAATTATAAATTAAAAAGTGATACAATCTGTCACTTTTCAATGAGAATTAGACAAATCATACAGAAGGATAAAAAATAATGTTATTCATAGTGAAAACTATCGATAATCGTCATATTTGACATACACACGACAGTTTGTTATTTGATATATTAATGTGGTAGTTTGTTATTGTCTCATACATTAAATAGTAAACTGTCATGTGTATGTGACGTATGGTGACTATCGATAGTCTTCATTATAAATATCATTACTCAATGATAAAATGATTGCCTGCATTCCGTCTATCTTGGTGACTGAGTTTTGACAAAATAAGATAGTTTCTAATTATAGATAGACATGATGAATTGAGAACTCTAATTATTTTTAAGCGTGCAACATATATAAAAATAAAATACTGAGTGACATTTAAATTAAAAAGTGACCCTATATATCACTTTTCGTTCACATGTCTACTAACAAAAATTTGACAAAACCAACAAATTTAAAAAACAAAACATTAATCTAAAAGGATGAGCTGCGTCCTTGACTGCTCTCACTTGTCCTGTCATGGACCTTGGTGAAAGAAGTAAATTACAGGTTATGCCTACAAGGGTATATAGTGGAAGACTGCTTGAACACTTGCACTTATCCAAAGATCAAATCCATATTCAAGATTCGAACATTTGATGCGACAGCCTCAAGCAAAGTTGGAATTTCTTCACATTCCCCTTTTACCACTTGAAGATGTGCCATGTGGGCAACAAAACATTAATCTAAACAGAGCAAGGCATGTGCAAAAGAGAACCAATTCAATTTCATGTCAACAAACATCTGTTTTTTGTTTAATTTAGGGAACATTGGATTAAGTGTTGCATAACGTTGTAAAACTTGCAATATGGTAGAATACTAAATCGGTAAAATTTAATTTCTAAAACATCTGTTTTGTTGATTTCAACAATGACTCGTCGATTAAACCCATAGCCTTTTAACTCTATAAATTAATCGAATCAATAATCAAATCAAGTTTGATAAATGATAACTATGATCCCGTAACATCAAAAAGTGATCGGTGCCAAAGCCAAAGTGCACTCAAAAGGACACACAACGGCTGATAATAGGGGGAATTCCATTAATGGTATATTTTATTTTTGTTCAATCGAGTAATTAAACTTTAATTAGATTTTAATCTGGTAACTTCTTCCAATTCCATAACTTTGACCAATGAAAATCGATAGTGTGGAATTAAATGGTGACAAACATTTATTTCACTTATTCCACACAAGTATTCGGCAACCACGTGTAATATTTGTCATTTATTGGTTGTCAACTCATCGATTTTTGTCCGTTGAATTGCGCATAGTTTCTTTAATTGAAATTAAATTAGAGAAAAATTATTCGATCAATATCAAATTAAAGTTCAGTTACTTGATTGAATAAAATTGAAGTACGATTACCTGATTGAAACTAAAATGAAAGTCTAATTCCTATGAATGAAATTGACCCATTCATGCGTGTTGTTAAATAGCTAAAGGATGGGTTTGCATTTGAAACCCATTCATACGTGTTCTATTTGGAATTGTGTTAGGTCTAATTCCTATTACTTTGTCTAGATTATTCATAACTGCATCTTTACAATACATGCGAGGTGATCAATTATTGAAAATACTGTATATAGGAACTGGATGGGTTGAAGAACCTTAAATGGTATAACTTTATGCTAATGTTAGTTACTTAGGATCCTTCATTAGAGAAACTATTTCTGGTCACCAACCATTGGAAGTCCAAGGCTCAAGACTCTAAGGAGTCTTTAAGTATGGTCTGATTTGGAAGGAACAAATCGGTCTTGACAGTTGGAATTGGCAATCGAGAATACTCGAAGCTAATATATGTAATAAGCTAGGATGGTGACTCTGAGGGATGGTAAGTTGCTAAGTAAAGGGGATAACATACAAAAATCATGTGGTAGCACCTGTATGTCTGCTTTGGTTTTTTTGTTTATCACCTCCTAATGATAATCTGCCAAGTGTTCATCTGTATGATTTTTGTGAAATTTTTTCTGTACATGTAGCATTGCTCATAAAGATTTATAAGCTAGAGTCCAAGTGCGCACAATGGGACCCACGATAGTAGTCAGCATTTTACTCTCTCTCTCTTTTTTGACAAAATTGCAGGCTATAGTCATGAACTATTTAATATTTATTTACAGCCATCCTTAAACAAATTCTTCTATTACAATTGTTAAAATGGATAAATTGCCCCCACCTTCTTTGACCTTTTCCTCTACTAGCAACTTTGTCCTCAACTTTGTTTGTTGGGAAAATTAACGTGTACATTCAAATAAGTTTGTGCATATAACTAGACAGAATTTCGAATTACCAGAATCGAATATGTAAAGTAGAAACAAGAAATGCATGAATATGAATTTGATCGAGGCAATATTTTGATTCTTTCTCCTTAAAACAATAATGTCCAATACAACGCTAAATGTTTTTCGACATTTGTAACCCAAGATATAACAATCACGTTCTGCAATAGGAACACTCCAAATTACGTAGATCAACAAACTTACTGATATTTTGAACTCTTTATAAATGATACTTGACTCAAAATAAATACAGAATTTATTGATGCATTATGCAAGTACAAATGTGCACGAGTTATATGTTGTAACACTACAAATGAGGAAGCATATTTATAATTATTGGAAAGTTGTGTCTCAAAAGACATCGCTCTTAGAAAAGTGACAACTATTAAAATTTGTCTCTATATAAGATCTATTGGAAAATAATAATTTTAGGAGTCGTGATTTTTCATATACATCTCTTCAATCAAACATATTCTAGAATATTACGTAAGATTCTACTAATTTTTTTAATAATATCACGTATTTAAACAATTTACATTTGAATTAATTTCTCATTTACTAACTAACAATTTTTATTTAAATAATCAGATAAAAATCGGTCTAAATCAATTTTCTATACAAAATTCGAATACTTTTTTTTTCACAGCTTTACTTTATAAATGTCCTCGATTTTTGTTCAAAAAGCCCATTAAAATAATATTATTGACAACTTTACTCTCTCGTTTAAATAAACAAAAACTAAGGGTTCGTTTGATTATAAGAGTGAAATTTGAGTGTAAAGAAAATGAATTCTAGGTAATTGAATTGTGTAGAATTGTTTTCTTGGGAATTGTCAATTAATTGTGTTTGATTAGTATAATTTTTTAATTGAAAAATATTGAAATTTTGGATCTTTTGGTATTCGTTTGACTTTGTTTTATATGAAAATTGTCCATTAAAGGAATAAAATTTGTTTCTATTGCTTAAAAAAATTGAAAAATTGAAAAACCACCAAAGTGGTGGGAAAACCAACTCAAGGAAAACAAGGAAAAATGAGTGACGTGGGGGTAGGGTGGAAAACTAATTCCAAGGAAAATTCTTTCTATCAAACAATGTAAAAGATGAAAAATGGAAAATGATTTCTAAGTTTCATGAAAAATTGGGGATATCAAACAGGGCCTAAATGTATAAAATAATAATAAATAACCAAAAGATAAACGAGAATGAAACAATATCTTTTCTCTACCTAAAGTTAGGGGACGAGGCAAGTCGAGCGAAGAATTCACCCCTTCAGCCTGTCAATTTTTTTAACCAAAATTATTTTTTTACTCGGTTTTGATGAGTTAGTTCACACACGAGCCGACATGCTGGTATTAGAGGACAATCCCATTCCTCT